TAATATAAATAATAAGAAAAATTTATCAAATTAGTGATTGGACCTAAGTGGATACTACCTGGGTCACCGTGAGTAATTAGCAGTATTTGAAATTTGTGTTCTCATAGTTCTTATAAGAACACAACTATAAATTTGTGCGTAGTATAAACTTTTTACTGTTTATTATTAAAATTTTTTTAAGAACAGTAAATTAATAATTGTGTTCTCATAAATATATTATAAGTAGTTGCAGTAACTGCAGATTTTAAATAAAAAATCTGGTATGCTGTAAAGAAAAATATAACTATTGAATTTTTTTTAAGAATTCTTTTTTAAAAATACTTCATTAACTTGAACTTTATATGCAACCACATATTTGGCACCACCTTTATTTGTTTTATATTTATCATAATTCAAAATATTTCTCATAATCAGAATTACTATAATCATCAATTTTTCATAAAAATTTAAATGCAGATAATTTTTTTCTCACTGATAATTAATGAAAATAGAATTAAATAATAATACATCTACTTACAGGTAACCCATAGCAGAATTTCTCTTACAGCTATTATCATAATTCCCAGAACATACCTATAAAAATTGGCTGATCAATTTTTTAGCTGATTCAGTTAAGATTGATTCAATAACAGATAAATTCAGATATATACGTAATTTAAAATCAGGTAATTAATATAAATATTATATTATTATACGACTATATATTTCTTGTTAAAATTTATTAGTTGACAAGAATAATCTTTTTCATAAGTTTCGTATAAACAAAACATACTAACATGTTGGGTATGAAAATTTAATAACATTGAATGTATCAATATTATAATGCTAAAATTATCCGTAGAATAAGGGTTAAGTCTATATAAAATTATTACTGGAATATCAAATCGTGTTGCTTAAATAATTCAGTTGACCCAGTTAACCTAGTTAAATTATATAAGCATGTGAAAATATGCACAATGCTAACTGCTAATGCTAATAACTCAATTGACTAGCAATTAAAAATATGTACTATATAAGTATGAAATAACATATTATTTAATTGATTTGTACATTATTTCAAGTATGCACATATGCATTATTTTGAGATAAGAGTCAATTTTCTGCCAAACCTGATTATAGCTATTCTTATAAATTCCGAGATACCTAAAAATTTATTCTTTTCCCGAAATTTCTTCAGTCTTGCTCTGTGAATTATCTAACTCTTCAGAAACTACATCATTGTCTCTGGAACTTCAGTCTTGAGACAACTATAAGTTTCCAAAGAGTTAGATAATTTACAGAATGAGACTGAAGAGATTTCAGGAAAAGAATAAATTTTTAGGTGTCCTAGAATTTATGAGAATAGCTATAAAATAAATTACCAAATGTGCAAGATTATATACTATATTTTTAACAAAAGCCAAATTTGGCTTTTGTTATAATAAAGTATTTAGGCCTAATTAAACTCTAATCAGGCTCAAATACTTTTTTTGTTCAACTTTACTATAACAAAAACTGAATTCGGCTTTTGTTAAAAGTTTAATATAGAGTGTGCATTATTTTAGAATGCCTAGATCAACTAGGTAAGTATAATTACTCTGAATAACTACAATAAATATCAGTTCCCGGGTTTGAGGGCGAGTAGGCTTAAGCCTTACAAGTAGATACATATTACATATATAGTTGATTAATAAAAAATATATATACTATCAAAACTGAATATGTACGAACGATATGTTTGCAATTCAAAATATGATATTTTTTAAAATATTATTTATTCTGTGACCTATATATTGACTAATAAATTGATAAATTTAATCTTTATTATACAGTAAAATAATGTACTATATATATTGAAATATGATCGTATAATTAAAAAAAAATCCAACTCTCATCTATTTTCTAAAATAATTATAATCTTAAATGCAATTACTAAATAACCCTAATCTTTAACCCAAATTCTTATAATGATGAATATTAGGGTGTTTTATTTAAATCTTAAGAGCATTCTATAAGAGCATAAAATATATTAGGCATAAAATATATTAGAGTTCTCTATAATTAAATTACTATTATCATATAGATACTATTGCTGAGATATATCAGGTAACTATGAAGTATTATTGAAATTGTTTGCTTAAGAGTGAGTAGGTCTCCACTAAGATTGATGGACCATGAGTGATATTTCTTATAAATGCATAGCTTATCTGTTGTCTATTGCAATCTTGTAAAAATTACTTATAGGTATTCTTGCATTTTCATTATTAGCATATTATAATGCCTATGCTATTACCTTGTTTGTATTAAATAAATACTTTTATTTAGTGTGATAATTATTTGATGCTCTCAAAAATTATAAATTGCTTAATTAACTTTCGTGATCCAATAGAATCCAATGTATAAAATCTTAAAAGTTATTAAACAGATCTACAATGCTACAAATAAGAAGACTTGTTATTTTATTATTATTATTATTATTAGAACATTCAATAATCCAAAATCTAGTATAATACTATAGTTTCAAATTTCTATCAATAAATTGTGTTACAATTTATTATGATTTAAATCTATTATTAAAGCATATCGCTTATACACTATATCTCTAATGATAAAACAACAAAATGTAATTATCTATTGAGTTGTTAAAAAGGTACCTAAGGTAATATAAATCTATAATTTTTTTGAATTGATTCATCATTTGAATTTATATTTGAATTAACTTTTTGAACTTGTGGTAGATTTAATTTTTGAGATACAGCAGGTTTAATAAAATAAACAAATATATTAGAAAAAAAATAATAAATTCTTTAATACTACAGAAAGATCGTTTGTTAACTTTAACCCTTACTGCTGAGCAAATTCTCCTGAATCTGCTGTGAATTTACAGGTAACAGTACTACATTAAAAAATATGTTTATTCTCCTTTAATTCTGTTTGTGTCCAACTAAAGCTAATACTATATGAACTTTCATAATTCATAAATAAAACATAACCTATAGTTTTTAATTTTGAATCTTGTTGTATATTCCAATTATCATAATTGACTAGTTGTTTCAATCTTTGTTCACTAGCTTCACCTTGAAAAAAACAAGAATATTTTTGTTGCACAGGACTATATCGGAAAGAAGATTCATTTTCAAAAGAAAAATGAATATATTTTCTAGAAAAGCATGAATTAAAACTTGTTTTGTGCCTACTAAATGTCTAATAAAGCCAGGACATTTTTTAACAAGAACTATAAATGCATCTTGGTAAAACATGATTTGTTCAAGAAGCAGTTGAATAAGTAAATTATGATGAGGTATGATTTTGTTATTTCAATGCTTAATTCTTTCATGAGTCACAAGCTTTTTTTAAGAAGAAAAAATCTTCTGACAAAGTTGGCATTTACTAGCCATTGCATGATTATGAATTTTAATGATATTTTTTTTGTTACCAATTTTAAATTCTGGTAATATAATTGAATAAAATTGTATGATTGGTTAATAATCATATTTTGATTATCTTATGTAACAAAATCAAATTATATGATATAATGAATAGAAATAAATCTGCTCATATATTCCAATTCATATATCAAGGCTATTTAACTTAATTCTATCACTGTCTATTGAATATCTCCTACAAATTTGATCTCTCTCTCAGAAAAAAATTAACCAACTATCAAGCACTCTCACCAAAAGCATCAAACACATGCTACACTTACCAACTAATACTAATAATGATATTCTCACAAACCCTCAATTACTTAATATACCTACCTTAAATAAGCTCCTACTCTTAACAAATAGTAGCAACATAAACAGATATCTGAATTCAAATATA